AACTCATCGCAGGTCGTCACGACACGCGCTCCCCCTCGCCTGCACGCGGCGTGGCGTGAGAGGGGCCTTGGCAGCCAGCGCACCCACCCCTGATCGTCCCTTATCTTCAAGATTCCACGCATCAAGTTAAGAAAAGTCACCAAAAGTTAGTTTTCTCCTATACACTTCATACACCAGAGGTCTCTGCTCTCAGAAAATATCATCACCACAAATACTACTGTAACAGTATTTAACTATATAACAGTATATTAATACTATTATAGTAGTATACATATTACTAATCACTATATCATTATTAATTATATATGCATATTATTAGTGAAGTATAGTAGTACTGATTAAAACTTCCATTGGACATCATGAAATATTGGTACAACGATGAAGATTCTATAAGTCAAATATTTTATATAAAGGTGCAATCTCCTATACTGTATTTCAGTACTTGATGGACTACATACAAATGAAAAAAATTGGTGACATTACTGTATTTAAAATCTATACTTTTGTAATCTTACATGTGGGTTGTCCTAACAGTGGTGTATTAATTTATAATAGTTGAACGTATCATCCTCCTCCAAGGATCTCGAAGCACCTGTAGTAAGTAAGGAGTAGTTCCCTCTATACCTCTGCCAAGGTAGGTATGTTGTAAGCATTATTTCTACCATACCAAGATTACACATGAGTCAGTGGCAGGGCTGGCACTACTCACTCATGACCCTTTAGTTCACAGATCTAACCATTAGAGTACTGCCTACACATTAATTCATTCCTTTCTTCATTCATAATATTAATTTGATGCAGTTTGCTAGGCACTAAGGATCAACTCCTTATTCCCTACTGAACTCACATTATATGAACATGACGATCTGTAAAATAAATAAATAAAGTAAAACAAAATAATTCTGCCCTGGGCATAGTGGCTCATGCCGGTAATCCCAGCATTTTGGGAGTCCAGATGGGAGGATCGCTTGAGCCCAGGAGTTTGAGACCAGCCCAGGCAACATAGGGAGCCCTTATCTCTACAAAAAAAATAAAAAATCAGCGTGGCGTGGTGGCGCACCTGTGATCTCAGCTACTGGAAAGGCTGAGGTGGGAGAATGGCTTGAGCCTGGGAGATAGAGGCCGCCATGAGCCCTGACCACACCACAGCACTCCAGCCTGAGCAACCAAACAGACCTTGTCTCAAAAGAAAAAAAAAAAAAAAAAAAAAATCTGATAAAAATTTTAAATTCATAGCAGAGCTTTTTCTGTACCTGGTGATTAATCCTAATTGTTTTATAATAACATACCTATCAGTGAACCAAATATATACTAAGAAAATGACTGAAATACAGAATTTTAAAAAAACGCTCTTATGGCCAGGCACGGTGGCTCACGCCTGTAATCCCAGCACTTTGGGAAGTCGGGGCAGGATGATTGCTTGAGC